TCAGATCCTGACACCTTGCTCACACAGAGGCACACGCTGGTGAACACCTCACTGGCATGTCTTTGCAGCCAACTGAGGTTGCTGGAACGCAGAACGGTTAGAAACCAGGCACCTTCTCAGCCCCAGGCAGGAAAGGATCCATTGGATTTGGCGTTTAATGATTTCAATCAAAGGCGTGAAGAGGTGCAGGAGCAGTAGGCAGGTTAGTCTGATACGCTCAGGAAACTGAGTCAAAAGCACACAGGACAGTTTTTAAGACATCAGTAACCAAGGAATACTGCAAACAAAATGCAGGCAGTGACCAATAATGTCAAATACAAACCCTGCCCACAAACAAACTTAACCATGTCATTGATAATTACAGATTGACCATAGCCATCTCTATGAAACAGAAGGAATCCCCAGTGACCTTAGAAGCCACACTTGCACATCACCATACACGAAGACAATCCAAGATCTCAAGCTATAGAAGGAGATGGTTTCCTCTTACCTTGAACTGTAAATATTTGCCAACATACTCCCACATTCGATGCTGCTGTTCATGGGTGAAGTGGGGGCCAAGGTATCAGGAATCATTGACACTTACAAATTCCCACTGTATTTGTACAGAAGGGCTTGTACTGCATACATCAGTAGAAGGTCCACTATGTCAAAGGTCAAGGTGCATGCATCCCATGGTCTGCCTTGATGTCCTTCTGTATAAAGGGCTATGCTAAACCACGATTTGAGAATGATATGAATGCTGAGTGCTCATGTAACTGAGGACTTGTTCTGTTTCTAGTGTTCTCCACATTGATTGTTTGGAACTGTGATCGATTTGAGGCAGCTGCAGTGAGGTGATTATTGCTGGGGCTGGGCTCTAAGAAAGCAGCAGAGAAATTGAGCCACAACCCTAAGACCAGCAGCAACTTCCACCGACTGTAGAACAATTCCATATAAAGAAAATGCAGCTGAAGATCCTCAGGGGACGCAGCACTGGTGAAGAAGGCACAGAATCTAGCATTTTCGAGGCTATTTCTTCCAGATGTCTGAGGCACATTACAGCTGTAGATTGAGGATGTCCTGGGACACTGCACAGAACTGTGTCATCTGCTGGACCAGGACCTGCGACATGAAGATCATCCTATCCCAGTGGCCATCAAGACAGCTCTCCTAAATTTTATGCAACTGGTTACTTCCAAGATCCACTGGGGATCCATGTGGGGTCTCTCAATACTCATCCAACAATTGTATCAAGGCCATTACTGATGGATACAGATCACACTGCTTCAGCTTATTTCACAGTGACGAAGCCCAGGGAGTTGACTTTTCCAACAAAGCTGGCTTCCCCCAGGAACATGCTGGGGAATAGACTATATACGCATGACACTGAGGGCAACATTTCATAAAGCAGCTGACTTATTGGTAAGGCAAAGTCCCATTCCATCAATGTACAAGTCCATCTGTGATCTTCAGTACTAAGCCTTAGAAGTCTGCCAAGTACCCCTGGGAGCTGCCATGATGCCTAGATCCTTGAGAACTCGCAGGTTCCTGCTTTATTTCAGGAGCATAATGCTTGGAAGGATGGGTTACTAGAAGATGAAGGCAATGCTATGTAACCATGGCTGATGGCAATGTTACAAAACCCACAGAAAGTAAGCATGGACACAATGCAACCCATTCTTCCACCAAGGACATTGTGGAGCAGACAATAGGCCTCCTGAAGGTGAGGTTCTGATGTCTGGATCAGTGTTCTGTGAGGGTGGAGGTTCACAGTACACTCCAGACATAATCTTTGAGAGCTGGGGCAGCAGCAGCAGCATCTTCCAAGAAGGAAGATTGAACATTGAGCAGGAGGATCATCAACTTCACCATGATACAGCACAGTAATCTCAGGCACAATGAGGCAGTCAAGACTTAATCGACACCTGATCCGGTAGATCTGAGTTGAGTGAAGTGATCACTCATTGTCTGTAAATTAGCTCTTGTTTGAAAGGCAACCATCCTCTGTTTATTTCCAGAAGCAATTGTGGTTTTTTGTTCTGCTTTTCCTTCATTTTTCCTGTTGTTTAATAACAGTTAATATTTTTATCTGTTTCAAATATGTGATGATGTCCTCAATTGAACAATGAGAAGATGCTGATGTTATGCTGCACTGGACATGTTGCGAAAGATTGTTCACCTCTGTAGCTTCAATCTTCTGGCACTCGACCAGACAGCTGATAATGTAAATTAGCAATACCTGTACAAATGTGGGTTTCTATTTGCAAAGAAGAAACACTCATGGCACCTATGTGACCTCAGAAACTTGTTCTTTTTGTTTCCTTCATACTATGCGCACTGTAAAAGGGGCTATTTGTGGCGGGCAACATTTGACCTTGAAGCTTCTAGATTGGGAAAATCAAATTAGCAAAGGTAACCATGAGGAAGTACTTATAGTGTGTATTCAGGGAAATTTCCTCCAACAGTATGTCGGGGATCCAACCAAGGATCATGTTACTTTGGATCTGATAACGTGCAATGAGGCAGGTTTAATAACTGTATTCATAACTATAAATAAAGGATACAAGGTATTAGTCGCACCACAGCTGGAGTACTGTGAACAATCTTGGTCCCCTTATCAAAAAGAAGATATCCTGGTAATAAGGCAATCCTAGAGAAGGCATGGGTATGGAGGGTTTATTTTGTGAAGAGAGTTTGGGTAGGTTGGGCTTGCAAGCAGTGGAGTTTAGAGAACGGGAGGAGATTCCATTGAAAGATAAAGGATTCTTAGGGGGCTTGACAGGATAGATATGGTGAGGTTGTTTCCTATTGTGGGAGAGTCTGGGATCGGACAGCATAATCTCAGAATAAGAGGTCGCCCAGTTAAGCCAGAAATGAGGAGGCATTTCTTTTCCCAGAGGGTAGTGACTCTCTGGTATTCTTTACCGCAGAGGGCTGTCAAGGCTGGGCTGCTAAATATATTCAAGGCTGAGACAGACAGATTTTTAACAAAAAAAGAAATTTCTGGAGAAACTCAGCAGGTCTGGCAGCACCTGAGGGATAACTTTTTTCAAGGTGAGGGTGGTGTGTATATGGAACAACCTGCCAGAGGAAGTGGCAGAGGTTGGTACAAATACAACATTTAAATGGCATCTGGATGAGCACATGAAAAGGAAGGGTTTAAAGGGGTATGCTGACAAATGGGACAAGGTCAGGGGATGTTGATCAGCATGGATGAATTGGACCGCGAGGTCCATCTCCATGCTGTATGACTCTATGATTCTATAACTAATAAATTTCAATTAGCCAAAGTTAAAACTTATATTCCATACTACCAGCACTAGAACAGTGAGAGCATTTGGGCTAATCCAAGGGAGGAACAAAACCTTGGGAAAGGGCCTTTTGATGGGCCTAAGCTGCCCATAAAGGATGTGATTACTCCCCCTTTCTTCCCAAAGTGGTGAGAAATGCTGAGCTTCTGCCTTGGTATCAGAAAGGCAGGAAGCAGTTGTTCAGTAGCCATTTATCCAGGGGCCCCTAATCCCTTCTCTGACACTTGTAAATGTGCAGCCAGGGCAAATAGGTTGCCATTAGAACCAGTGTCTATGGCATTGCACTAATTTATTGACCCCACCACAACCCATCTTCCACTCCACCCACATGCATAAAATTCAGCCCATGTGTTTGCTCCCCTTCTATCCGTCTGCTACATGACACCATCTCTTGGGCTTGGCTGGTCAGCAGGCCTAAGAAAATACACCCAGCAATGTGTATCATGTTTCCCAAGTGCCACAATCAGCTCGATAAAATTCGATAAAGAACAGCTCGTTGTGTCAATGCTGAAATGTTATGCGTAAAATAACAATGATGCAAAGCTTCCAAGATGAAGCACTGAACAGGCTCACTGTGACATTCCACAATCACCTCCCTATTCTGATGCAAGAACATGAAGAGCATTGGAAATATCATTTTAGAATACATTTAACGATGTAGAATCATAGAATCCCTACAGTGTGGAAGCAGGCCATTCAGCCCATCAAGTCCACACTGACCCTCCAAATGGCATCCTACCCAGATCCACCCCATTCCTGTCACCCTGCATTTCCCATGGCTAACCCACCTGGCCTGCACATCCCCAGACACTATGGGACAATTTAGCATGGCTCATCCACCTAACCTACACATCTTTGGACTGTGGGAGGAAACCAGAGCACCCAGAGGAAGCCCACACAGACACGGGGTGAATGTGCAAACTCTACACACTCACCCAAGGGTGAAATCAAACCCGGGTTCCTGGCGCTGTGGGGCAGAAGTGCCCACTAGTGAGTCACCATGCCACCCCCATCATTTCACTCAATGACAAGGCTGCAGAAATAGAGGTTATTTTTCTAACTTTCTACAGTGTTCTCTTTTACAAAATCCTTTTCCATCTTCAATTTTTTTTAAGAAAGCATTGCTTTTTACATGATCCATTTGATTGAGTCGGAGTCCTCTAAATATTCCCAAGGAAAATAAAACTTGCATTCATATAGCATCCTTTTTGACCAAGGAATAGTTCACAATGCCAATGAAAAATCTACTGAAGCTTGGCCACAGATGTAATATCAGAAACACAGCAGCCAATTTATAGCAAACTCCCACAAATAGCACTCAGAATTCTCGAAGATTTTTGTTGTTCACATGAAACACCACAACAACTAGCTTCACGTTTTATTGAATTTCTGTGTTTTCAAATCATTATTTAATTCAGATATCAGTAATCAACTGAAATCAAATCACTCGAAAAGCTCCAATTCTCACCTCAGCTGTATTCTTCTAAGTGCACATGAATAATGGATACCTTGAAACAGTGACATCAGTAAATTTATCAACAGGTTCAAGCATTATAAACCAGGACAGCAAATTCAGGGGACAAGTGGACAAGGGGGCATAATTACAGTTTGTAAGTAACCAGTTGACCGACAGCTTGATTAAAACAGAGGAGGCAGAACATTGTGCAATTTCAAGAATACAAGGCAATATTATTCATGAAGACTTACCCCAAGTATTTCTTGAACCTTGTCGCTCAGTATATTCTTATTCTGGGTATTCATTTGCAAAGAACTTGCAGCATAATCATAATAATTGCACCAAATCTGTCAATCTGATTGGATATCAGGAAAAATATAATTGTCATAGATATGTCTGTACATAGTTTTATGAAAATTAGATTAAATGGCTGAAAATCTGAACTGAAACACAATTTTTCTAAAACCGGAACAGCAAAGGGATATCAGAATGCATTCCTCCTACAGAAAAGCAACTTGCAGATTGTTTCTCTGCATAAACTCTGGAAAAATCATTTTCACTTTGGGTCATTCTGACCAGAACTCTAATCTCCAGAGGTCTGAAATATAAACAGGGACATTGATGGTTTTGAATTGACTGCATGATCTGTTTTATCAGCAACAAAGCTAACTAAATACTTCACACCAAATCTGAAATGCTCTTCCAACCATACAAGCAGGTACATTGAACATTTGTTTTCTTAAAAAAAACCTGTGTGCAAGTAATCATCTCAAATCAAGACATATTTTTCAGGCTCAGACTGCATTCATTCTGCCTGCAGATACCATTGTTTAAAGAGGCTTACAGGACAGCAATTTCTCTTTCCTCCAGTATATTGCTAGGAAGGGGAAGCAGTAATGGCGCAGGGGAGCATAACCTTGCTGTCTCCTCTCGGGATAACTGCAATCATTCTCCTGTATCTGTTGCTTCAACAGTTGCTGCTTAGCCAGCCAGCTTGCCAAGGTGATAATCTGCCACACAACAGAGACATTGTGATTTCTGCCAGGACACCATGCATCAACCTGCATTGTCACTGTGGACTGCAAACCAACTGGATGGTTAAGGGGATGGTCTCTCTTTCAATTGTGTCACATGGTGGAATTGACACATGGCTCACAAAGCAATGAGCAGCCATTTCAATGCTGGCCCATGGCATGGGAGTGGCCTGCAATCTGAGAAAAGCTGCACAATATCATTCTGGTAGGGGAGAATGAAATGTATTCAGCTCTCTTGGAATACAGTGTGACAGTACATAGGAAACTGGAAAACAATGTAGATGTCGTTTATTCGGGCCTGGAAGGACAGAGATATGTAGGAAGCTCATTTATAACCATTGGAAATGCCCTGCTTGGAGCCTGCAGTTGTAACTACAGCAGGCAAGACATTTCATTGATGAGCTTCTTACTGAATGAAACATAGGTCCTGAGAGGTTCAGCTATGAGACTTGCTCCCCGCAGACAAGTAGATCTACAGGGCTTCTCCTCTGGTAGCTCGTCCACCTTTGCATCAGTTCTGCCATTTTCTTTCTGACATGCAATGGTCCAGCAGGATATAAACTTCCAAGACCTCATCAATGAACAAGTGATTTGTGTGGATTCCCTGAAATCATAAGCGAATCAGCCAGGCCTGGCAGAGAATGGATTAATTGGTTGTCCACCATACCCACTCAAACTGCATCCCTTGGGAAGGTACCATGGAGAACAGTCAGAGTAAGACACAGCAATGCTTTTATAGGAACAAGGGCATTGAAGGTGGAGGTGAGAGGATGGTTGAGCAGATCATTAGCTTCAGAATTGCTGAGATGTATTGATGGCCTCAAAAGTTAGGGAAGAAGGAGAAGTTTGCATTTACATGACACTTTTCACAAACACTGCAGTTGTAAGGGAATGGGAAAATGCAAAAGGATATAGTTGCATTAGAAGCGATTCAAAGGAAGTTCACACATCTGATTTCTGGGATAAAGGAGCTGTTGTATGAGAAACAAGTTGCAGAAATTGGGCGAATTGGAGTTTAGAAGAATTAAATGTAAACTTTTCGAAGCGTACAAAATCCTGTCAGGTCTTGACAGGGTGGATGCTGAGAGGACATTTCCCCTTGTGGGACAATCTAGAACTAGAGAACACAACTTACAAATTAAGAGACTCCCACTTGAGATAGATATTTCTTTTATCTCACAGTCTATGGAACTCTCTTCCCCGGAGAGCATTGGAGGTTTGATCATTGAACGTATTCAAGGCTGAGTCAGATAGGTTTTTGATTAACAAGGGATTCAAGAGTTATGGGGAGGAAGCAGAAAAGTGGAATCACGGCCACAATCAGACCAAACATGTTTGTACTGAATGGCAGAGCAGGCTTGTGGGGCCAAATGGCCTACTCCTGCTCCTAATTTGTGTGTTTATTTTTTATTTACATATAGGAATGTCTGCTTATTTTCTAAGTGGCTTGGCTGCACTGCATCCCAAAATCCCAGGGGAGGTCACACACCAGTCATTTTATTTTGCCAATTACTGCAAACCCGTAGCATGCACAAGTAACTTACAGAAGCCGCATCTTTAAACACATCATCTGTGCATTCAAAAAAGAAAATAGGGTGAAAGTTCCAGTGGGGTGAATTCTTTTCCCCAGGAGGGGTAGACAAAAAAAGTAGGGCTCGAAGGGGGCAACTGAATACGGCTGGAAAGTGATGCAGAGATGTAATCAGATGTGGCCCTATTTGTGATTGGGTCTCACTATTCTGTAATGCCAATGAGATGGCAACATGAAGGGGATGGTCATGATGATGGGTTGGGGAGGTCAAAGACAGATTGGGTGTTTTTGTTTTACTGTCCCCCATGATCAAAGTATATTTATTTGTAACGTCCATTTATTTTCTTATGCAGAGAGTGTCCATCCCATTTGAAATAATTCCAACAGCACAGTTTTTTTTTAATAATTTGAAAATAAAGAAAGACTTTTTAATCCCATGTTTGCCTTGGTGGTTTAAAGATGCGACATCTCACTTAGTCAACTCTCACACATTACCACTAGAAAACTTAGAAGCAGATGAAGAAAAAACACAATTACAATTTAGGATTATATTAGTCTCTTTTGCAGCAGGCATGTAGTTTCTTAGATAAGTTGATGGCTTGGTTGGAGTGAAGATCTTAAAAACAGAAGATTCTTAGTAATCTGAGAGGCTTCTGGTAGGTAAAATGCTAGGAACTTGGTTCTCAGGTGAACTTTAAGTAAGAACAGATTGGACTGAGGGTTTTTTTTTCACTTTCACTTAATTGAGTGCAGATTATTCAATGGCTTTCTGCTGGTCTCTCTGACTGCAAAGCTGCTTCTCACCAGTGTAATGTTCTTACAAGTTCAGATTCCTTTTCTGAATAAGATGATGTACTTGGTTAATAAGATCTGAAGTTGTGGCTTTGCACATCTTGAGTGCTCAAGAGAGTTAAGGTCTTTTGTGTTTAAATGAGGAATCTTCACATTACATTGTCGGGTCAATGGATCCATTTCACTTTTGTGTAACAGCCATTGGGTTTTTATGTCTATCTCCATCATGAAATGAACAATAAGTCAGTTGGTATGTTATAGCTGTTTCTGTTGATGGTCCAACTTAAACAAAGCTTTAATTTCACAAGTAATTATGAGGTTATCAGGTTTTAGTTGCAGACTCTACTGGCTACAGTTCAAATGACAAGTCAGATGATATTCAGAAATGAGTTGAACAGTTTGTGTGCTCATTTTTTAAAAATACGGTCATGAGAGCTCATGTGGCACAGTGGTAGTGTGTAATAACTTCTCTGAACAGGTTAATTAGGAAATATCTAAAACGTGATCTGAAAGCATCCCGGTAGTCTCCCTAACTCTGAGTCAGGAGGTCTGGGTTCAAATCCCACCTATCCCAAACATTTATCATAACATACCTGAACTGGTTGTTTAAAATTACTTCTCAGTGCAGAAGCAGATGGGACAGTTTCAGTTACTTTAAACAGAATAAGTAGGACTACTAACTAAGTCTAAACCTGAGATTATGGGAACTCTGAAAGTGGAAAACAATGTAAAAATGTTAAACAGTACTTTCAACAGCTTTGATGTTTTGCTTCCAATTTAATTCTGTCTTAAAGGAGGTGACTTACACCATTCCACAGGTGCTACAAGCCTTCTGGTAATGTACACCAGTTACTGCAGCAGGTTACCTGACTAAACACTATCATTGCATGATGAACCTGTTCTAGTCTTTGTCTAAAATCTACTTGCATACACTTCCCAACCAAGATCTCTGAACTCAAAACCCGATTGTCTTTTCTCCTCTTCTTTCTGAGAATGCTAAAGCCAAATGCAGTATCTCCTCTTCCTCAACTTGACAGAGATGAACCAACTCAGCATAGATCTGGGATTGAATTTTAACTCTTCCACATCTTTATGAATCCGTGTGCAACTGTGTAAAACGTATTTCTCCCACTATTGCAGTGAGACAATTTTGAAACTCTATTTATTTTTAATTAACTGATTTCACAGCACAAGGGAGCTGTAACAATTTTGCTCAAAGTTCTGTCTTTATGTTTCTCAACAATTATCAGCAGAAAATATTTCGAAACAAGTGACTCAGATGAAATTATCAGCCAGTTGTAAAAGATTTTCTTCCTATTTATTTTTGTCCAACAACATTATTTATTTCTAAAGATATTGTAAGGAGATTCCTCAGAGTTGTTTATACATCATCTTGACTCAAAGTGCAATGGAAACCATATTTATGCATATATGCTTTGTTACTGTGCCACTTTGACTGAAGTTATGGCATCAGTGCAGCTGCTGTTTTGAGGAAATGTCTGGACGTTGTTCCTTAAAGCATTTCAATATCTACAGTTCAAGTTCATACACCATTCAAGGCAGAGTATAGTCAGAGGGGTGCACTGATGAGGCAGGATCATTTGAGAAAATCATCAGGAGGCCATCAGTTTACAACTAGAGTGCATCTTTGAATTTCGTAAATACTCCACAATATTTATAGATGCACATTAAGTAAAGAGGGTATTGCATGCCTACATTTATAAGAAATCTTCCCAACATTCAGAACTTTTCCAATGACTGCGCAATAATAGTGTATCTGAGTCAATTTAAGATCATGCTTCAAATAAACTCAATCTGTGATCTTAATACAATATTTAAATTCTATTATGGCTTGATCCTCTTAATAAAATAATACTAAATAGCAAATATCATTAAATTGCCCAATTGAGGTAATTTGTTTTCTGATTTTCTGACTGTTTCTGTGAAGCCCCTTCACCATCAATGATAAATGTTGTAAGTATTAAAGCTCTATTAGCA